TGTGGATGGGGAGACTTGGGGATACTCCTGGTGAAGGGACCAGCTCCCCATTTCCGCAGCCATAACAGCCTAGCACGTGCTTGCCTGACTTGGTCACTAGGAGGTCAGGTGTCTGCCTCGTGGCAAGGAACCAATCAGAAGTTAGCTGGTGGTACTATGCTTTACAGCTCTGGGTGTGCTTTTCGGACAAGTACACAGCAATGATGCACAGAACATAGCGACCACCCTGGGAGGGCCTATGGGCCATAACAACCAGTTGACCAATCAACACAGGGCAAACCCTCCAAGTCTGGAGGCACACCCATCCTGAGCCTGTGCGCACCCCTAGACACTCCCCTTACGCTGCCCTATAAGGTCTCTATGCAGTGGCTTCACAGTGTCTTTCCTAGCCATCCGCCATGGGGTTAGCTCATTAAACAACTGCAATAAAGCCTCTTGCTGTTTGCATCAAGTTTCCACCTCCACATGGTGATTGGGGTGGCCGAGGTCCTGGGCTAAGATCCTGGGGTCCTGAGTCTCCGGGGGTCTTTCACTGGTACATGCCAGCACCCAGGTCCTCCTGATAGCCACCCTCCATATTCCTGAACTCTGAGACCTGTCTCAACCTCTGCACCCCAAAACTCACCTCACATAGCCTGCCTGAAGATTCTGGAGTGGCTCTTCTCTCTGAGACATGCCTCTTTTATGTATGGGTAGGTTTTATTTGCTAATTGTAGTTCTATGGTATTTGCTTGGCAATATGTGTGTAAAAGAGCTTTTGTTTTCTTTGATTTTTTGTGTTTGTTTGTTTGTTTGCTTGTTTTGAGACAGGCAACTAGCTCTAGAGACCATGCTGGCCCTGAAATGACCTACATCTGCCTGCCTCTACATACCAAGTGCTGGAATTAAAGGCATGCTCCACCACTGGTTCAGAGCCTGCCTCTTCTCTTGCACTCTACCTTTGCTCTCTGGGCTTCTCCAAGGAGGCCTTATAGGGAAGAGGGAAAGCCTGGACCTAGTCTTCTCTGCTCATTCTCTCCTTCTCCAGACCCCAGCAGGTCCACAAGTAATTTCGGGGGTCCCTCTCCACAAAGCCACCTGGCACAACTCGGCCCACCCCCCCTCCCCCCAGCCATGACTGTAGCTGCTGTGCCCCCCCCCCCGAATCTCCTCCCCCATGCTGAGTGCTGTGGGCTTCACTGGGACAGGACGTCTCTAGCAGATAAGATGATGTCATTGTCTGTAGTGAGATATCCACCCCACCCTCACCTGTAGCACTGGCCACACCTTTCTGGGCATGGTCACAGGTGCAAACATGACTGAGAGTAGTTTTAGGTCTGGGGTTTGACCACAGGTGGCTCTCTCTTGATTCTGGTCGGGTCACCCAGAACAGCCTGGGTGAATCATTGGAGCAGGAACTTCTGGCACTCACCTGCTTCTTATGTAACTGATTTCTCCCTGAAAAAAAATTTTATTAACCTATTTTGAGCCTAGTCCTGTGAATCTTGATCAGTGCATCCATACTTGTCAGCCTTGTGAATGTGGGCAGAGTTGTGGCTGGTGGCTATGTGGCCACTCTGCAGTCAGTGGGTAAGTGTCATGGCAGGAGGACTCAAGGGAGGGCAAGACACAGCCCAGGTTCTCTGTTCCTGCTTTACCTTCCTTCTGGGTTTCATCAGGGGAGGTGGAGGAGGGAGGGGAGGATCCCTGACCAGCTTATCTGGGGTTCAAACCTCCACCTGGGGTCCAGCCTTCTTCCCTGCAGAGGGGGATGCTATCCCACTGGATTGATTTTCCCTAGAGTTCCTGCATGGAACAGTTCCTTGCAAAAGTAACTGTGCTAGACACAGATCCTGGAGAGTTTTGAAATAGGTGGGATATTGTGAGACTTGTACCTCAGGCCATCCTGAGTGACCCTGGCAACTATGACCCTCTCTGAAACCATAGTTTCATCCCATTTCATGTATTTCATCCGTTGTTTCTTCTGTAGGAGCTGCTGGACTTTCCATGTCATCAAAGTTACTCTTGGGCTCTGCAGGGTCTATACTCATGGCCCAAGAGATGGGCATTTGAGAGTTCCAGGCCTTCCTGCTCCAGGAGGGCACATGGAGGCAGAGGGTACGCTGCCCAGTTTTTTCACCCGAGAGAGGGAACAGTTAACCCCAGAGAATAGTCTGCCAAGCCCAAGTGACTAATTGGAAATAAGAAATAAAACCAATTTGTTGCCAGCTTTATCATTCCCTTAACATCATATGTGCTGTTTGCATAGTAAAGGTTGCTCAGGGCCCCACCTCTTGCTTCCCAGGCTTGGGTGGGTTGTGCTCACCTCTTTCTCCCACATCTTGTCACAGAGACACATGGTGTAGGTGAGTGCTCAGGTGGAATGAGTCTAAAAGTAAAAACAGAAGCTGCCCTTTGCCCTGATAACTCTTCTAAGGTCACATCCTCCTTGGCTCCTCCCTAGGTGGGGAGTTGACCTAAATGACTTCCCAGATCCCAGCCAGGTGAGGGCTGGATCAGTCCCTATGAGGAGTTTTAGCATGGCATCTGGTTTGAGCCACTCATCTCAAAGCCACAGCTTGGTTTACATTCGTACCACTCTCCCAGTGATTGTTTTTGGTGACCTGAATTTAAACATTTTGTTTCAGCTAAGTCACCAGAGAAACCAAAACCTCTGCCTATTCTCTCAGTACTGCAGCCATACTAAATGATTTTCCCTTTTATGTGCCCAGCACAGCCCTCAGCCATGCTGGGTTGGGGGGGGGTAGCTCACTGCTCACACTTGGTCTCAAGAAGTGGTCATCTCTTCTGGCTTGGGTCCCCACTCCCTTACACACACAAAGAGTGATTCTAGCTATTGCAGTGCCAGGAAGAATTTTCCTGGGGCAGAGGCAGTCCTCACCTCCCTCTAAAGGAGTCAACTCGCTGCCCCAGTGTCCAAAACCAAAGGTTGCCTCGGTCTCCATTTCATAATTCATATCTTCTTTTCAGGCAGTGGTGTATGGGATTGGAAGATTAAAAACCACCATTATCTGGAAAACTCCAGGACCTCATTAGTCTCCTAGAGAGAGTTTTTACACCCACCAGTGACTTGGGATGACTGCCAACAGCTCCTGGACACCCTCTTCATGGCCAAAGGGAGGGACAGACTGGAGCATGGCGGCAGATAGACCAACCTTTGGCCTGACAGAGGATCACTGCCAGAAACAGTAGTCCAGTTAGAGTGGGTTTTCTCTCAGTCTCACCTGACTGGGACTCCAACACTGCCCAAGGTGAGGAGGCTCTGAAGAGTTCTTGCCAGGTCATTTTGCGCGTATTGAAAGCAGCTGCTAGAAACATATCTGAGTTGTCTAAGGTGACAGAGGTAATACAAAAGTCCTAGGAATCACCTACCGGGTTCCCAAAGGGCTTCTGTGACCCTTACCTGATGCTCACTCCCAGGGACCCAGAGTGACCAGAAATGCAGAAAGCAACAGTCAACACCAGATAATGGAAAGAAAACTTCCAAAGTTCAGAAGGGTTTGCAAATATGAATTGATCCCAATTATTAGAGATCACTAACAAGGTTCACCATAATATGACCCTGTAGGGAAAAAATGCAAAATAAAAGTAACTGCAGTGCTTGGGGAGACAAACAGAAGACACCCTGTACCTGAGAGGGCAAGTCAGAGACACCAGGAAAGGAAGAGGGACAAGGGTGCACTGTCGTATGTAACTATTTGCAAATGGGGGAGGTGCCCTAACTGAAAATTCTGACCCTGGACAAGGTCAGTGCCCAATCTGTCCAACAGATCGATCCTGTTTCTGTTGGTTGGACCCTAAATCTATGCTAATAAAAGAAGCTAAAAAGTTGATTTGGGGCCAGGAACGATTCCTAACAGCACATACCCTGTTAAGGTCCTTTTGAAGGAGGACCCCATAGAGGTGTGTAGCCAATGTTAGAATGATGCATTGTCAATCACTTCTGGGTCAACCCCACACCTGTTTCTGTAAAATTTCAGCCATCAATCCAGCCAGTCTGCTGCCAGACAAATATACAACAGAGGCTCTTCTCTTTTTTTTTTTTAGTTTTTTATTTTTTATATAAATTTGAATTACAAACAAGATTGAATTACATGACAATCCCAGTTCCCTTCTCCCACCCTTCCTCCCCTGCCTCCCCCCAACTAAAATCCTACCTATCATGTGTCCTTTCTTCTAATCTCCACCTGATCAGCCTTTCTGCTCGGAGGCTCTTCTTGATTGCCTGGAAGTGACTGATGCAGTCAAACCCATCAGATGTCTACCTGCGACCTCATCTCTCTGTGTGCTCCTGAGATAGACTTCTTGCATTCCTGTGTCCCATCCATTTGTCCCCCTTCAGGAAGTCTTCCAGATACCCCTTGTCTCTAGGTGTTTGTGTGTCATGTCACTCTGTCCAGCACTGCCTTTTGCATGCCATGGACAATGACTACCACCCTTGGATGAAGGTACGGTCAGGGTACCAGGACATAAGGCAGGAATTTCAGCCTCCTTTTCAACTTTGTAGACATTGTACGGTGGTGACCATTTTTGATTCTATCTCCTTCCAGGGGCGGCAGGGCAGTAGCTTAGCCCCGTGCATCCCCTGCACATCCAGGGCCATCGATGAAGAAGGACCAAGGGCTCTGGGGTCAATGTTCTTGGCTACCTCTCACCTTTGCCCCAGGACAGCAACCTCTGTTAGCCCAACCTTTAATCAGGAACAAATAAGCTCCTTAATGACCAGGGGAAAAAACAAATGAAAAAAAAAAAAACTTGCCATATAGATCATCTCCAGTGAGGCATGGAGGCTTAAAGCCTTCTACCTACTGACTGTGTTGTCCCCTCTCTTTGTTCTCCTGCCTGAGTCTGTCTTAGGAAACCTGAAGAGTTGAAACTCCCAGTCCACAAGTCCCTTCAAAGAGTCACCAGAAGCAAAGGTAAGGACACCAGCACAAGACCTTTATTTTTCATGTGTCTCTGACTTAAATTTGGGTTTTGGTGGCTCATCTTGGGGTATACTATTTATTGTTCTTCCGGTCCCACTTTCGTCTAATAAATTTAAGCAAGGCTTCAGCAGCTTCCTCAACAGATACCCCAACAGCTGACCCAAAAAAGCCCAGGATGATTTTGGATGTTGTAGAGAGTCCAGCAGCCCCTGGGAAGGAGACAGTGCAGTGACACTCAGTGGCCTGAGGCTTAGAGATGCCCATTGCCTTTTGACTGAACCCTAGGGCTCTGAACCACAAGGAGAAGACAGATTGGGTAAACTGAGATACAGGAGGGGGAGTTCTCCAGAGAGCAATATCCCCTCTATAAAGCAGGACAGAGGGGGACACATTGGAGAAGGACACCCAGGTAGGGAAGATTCAGAGCCCAAGTAGCATGTATCTTGGACCAGGGCTCCTTCCTGCTTCTGCCATCCAGTGCCCCTTCTGCCTGCACCAAACCCCCACCTTACTCACAATGAACCAGAGAGTAGCCATAGAACTAGAAGACACAGGCCCTATGTAAGGTGGGAGTGTAGGGAGAGGAAGGGAGAAACCTTCCTTGGCTGGGTCTCCAGTCCTCTTTCCTGGACTGACACTTACCCACTGACTGCAGTGTGGCTACCAGGCTTCCTGCTGCAACTCCACCCCCATTGGCGATTGCTGCTGATGACATCATCTGGGCTGCCAAGGATCCTGCTGTAATTCCTGCTCCAGTGAAGCCCACAATACCTAGGGCTATGGGAGCAGCAATCACAGCCCCAACTGTGGGGAGAAGAGTTGGGTGGTGTGGGCTCAGGGGAAAACCCACTTAAGAATTACTTGACTGTTTGAGGGGGGTCTTTCTATTCTGAGCAGCAATGAAGAAGTCCCAAGGATAGGCCAGGGTGCCAAATGGAGGCAAGGGTGTCAGTAGAGGATCTGCCAGAGCCATGGTCTTACCAAGGTGTGTGACACTGGGAAGTCATCATCCTTCACTGGCCTCAGGCTTTTATGGGACAAAATTAACTACCCCATACAGTTTTAGTAGCTGCCTTCCCTTCCCTCAATGAATTTTCTACTTGCTGTTCATCATATATAAGGCCTGTAGGAGAAGTCTGGCTGGAAATCTTAAGCTGTTCTGTAAGCCTTAAGCTCACCCAGGGATGAAGCACAGCTCAGGCCCTGGCTCTTCACCCAGGCAACTCCAGAATAAAGCAAAAGACAAGAGCTGGGGTGGAGTCCACAGCAAAGCACAAAGCTCCCACAGCCTCCCAGCAGGTGCAGGAAACATACCTCCTCCTATTGCAGCACCAATGATGGTTCCTGAGGAGAGAAGGGTGAGTAGAAGAGATTAGAGTCAGCTGATGGCAGTGAGTTCTTGGTGGGTTTTTGTCAGGGAGCCCAGTTTCCATCCCACACCAGTGCTGAGGGTTACTAACTCTTCTTCATGGTGAGATGTCTTGGTAACAGGTAAGCTTAGGAAGTGAACTAAGTCTGAGAAGAGAAGGAGGGACACTTCTTGGTCAACCAATAGGAACATGGCCCGCCCCTTGCAATGAGTCAGAGTCCTGGGTGAGATTTGAAAACAACAGGAAGTAGGCACCTGTCCTCTACTGTTTTGCTGATCTCTGAGTAGATGGTTTCCCTTAGATTGGTTTCTGTCCTGGCTGACCCTTAACACACACACACACACACACACACACACACACACACACAGAGAGAGAGAGAGAGAGAGAGAGAGAGAGAGAGAGAGAGGCATGAATGCAGACACAAAGAGAGACAGAGAAGGAGGTGATAGCTGTTTGCTGCTAAGTCAAAACCTAAAGGAGCAACACTCACATTCATACACACACTTAGCAATAAAAATGTGTGTGATGGGGATGTCATTCTGTGTATATAATTTTCTCTTATTGGTTGGTGAATAAAACACTGTTTGGTCAATAAAGGCAGGAAGATAGTACGGCCTAGGAGACCAGAAGAGGCTGGGAGAGAAGCAGAAAGGTGCCAGCAAGCAACACCAAGTAGCTGCCAAAGTAGTAACAGGTCCAGTCATTCTCCAGTAAACCAAGACCATGTGGAAATACATAGATTTATAGAAATGGGTTGAGAATTAAGAGAGAGCTATCCAATGAGAAGCCCTATCCATCAGCCAACAGATTTATAATTAATATAAGTCTTTGTGTGTTTATTTGGGGCTCACCCAGCTGTGGAACAAGACTGGAAAGAAACTCCAGTAACAAATGTGGGTACTAAATTTATTTCTCTTACCTGCAAGATGGAGAGATTTTATTGTGCAGCTATGGTTGGATAAACAGATAAAGTTACCCAAAATATCGTGTCCCCACACAGTAACAGTCTCATGAGATTTTTGTGTAACAGAACAACTAAAATCACAAATCAAGGCACTTCAAATACATGTATTAGAACAGACATTAAGTGAGAAGGTCAAAACTGAAGGGGAGCCTCTGCTACTGGCCTCAGGTGCTAAATGATGGTGTTCCTCCCCTTTTGCTTGGTGGGAGCCTGGTGTCTATATGTTCCAAGGATTTGCCTAATGGTCACAAAGATGCTAGGTTAGGTACATATGGGGACAGTGAGTAGCTATTATAAGGGCTAAAGATGTCCCAAGAAAATTTGGCTCTGGAATTGCAACATTTGAAATTCTCCACATCATTAAAGTTCTAAATAGTTAATCAGGGGCTGTAGAGATAGCTCACAGGTTAAGAGCATTGGCTGTTTTTCCAGAGGACCTGGGTTCAGTTTCCAGTGGATCCAACACCCTCACACAGACATGCATGCAGGCAAAATATCAATGCACATAAAACAAAAATAAACAAATCATTGTAAAAAAGAGTTAATCACGTTCAGCAAGGGCTCAGGCAAAAGTACAGCTTCTCTCCTGCAACTTTGGTCCACACAAATGTGTCTGATTTCAGCAGTGTCCTGCAGAGGAAACTGTCCTAACATCTAGGAGCATTTCCTTCCTCCTCTGTCCCAGTGTAACCTATGCCACCGCCAACCATTCTGACTCCACTGGGCATGCTGCTTTGCAAATAGACCCTCTATTGAACTGGCTGTTTAGATCTCTATGGCTGTTTCCTTGGCATCCAGTTTACTGAGGCATAATTTAGGCAAGATATCCCACTTTCAGTTCAAGCTTCTGTAACTTCAGATTCAGTTACTTATGCAAATACTGTCTCAGATCTAGAAACCCTCCTCACTCACTTCTCTTCTCCCCTAAATTGTCTCATCTTTCCTTTTAGTCATTTGCTCCCAGCCCTACCAGAGACTCCCATTCAGTCTCCACACACTTGCCCTTCCAGAATGCCTGTGTTTACCACCTGAAATTCTGCCCTGTAGACATGTGCTAGCTCACTGTCCCAGCCTCTCCTCTAAGGGTGTGAATTCTAACACTGGCTTCTGTAAGTTACATAACCTGAAATGCTGACATCGCTGTGCACAAGTTTTCCCTGGTAGTATGTTCCTATAGATGAATCTGCAGCTCAGTGCTCTTGTTCTCCTGGAACAGGGTAGATTTCTGGCTTAGTCAGAGTTCCTATTGCCACAATAAAATGCCATGACCAAAAGCAACTTGGAGAGGAAAGGGTTTATTTGGTTTACACTTCCACATCACTCTTCATCGTTAATGAAATCGGGACAGGACTCTCACGGGACAGGAGCCTTAAGGCAGGAGCTGATGCAGAGGATATGGAGAGGTGCTGCTTACTGGCTTGCTCTTTTTCAGTGACACCCAAAGTATAATGATCACTAATAACCATGCAACAAAATCAATATGAGGCTGTTTGGAAATCTTCTCTGGCAGTGAAATTAGTTCAAAGCTCTTTGATTTTAGCCTCAGGAATACCCTTAGGACAAGGGGGGGGGGAAAGGTACATTTTTTGCCAAAGTATCACAAGAATGGTCTCTAACCCAGTTCTTAATATTTTTCTCCTATAAAGCCTCTTGTGCTCTTCTCCATAATCCAAATTGCTCTCAGCACTACTGTCTGCAGGCTCCTCTGGGAATGGCCCACCAGACCCACTTAAATCAGTCAAGAACCCTCCTAGTCCAAAGTCCCAATGTTTTCCACAATCTTCCCAAGACAGCATAGTCCAGCCTGTCATAGCAATAGCTCACTTTCTGGCACACAACTTCTATAAACTTATTTTGATATTGCTGTGAAGAAACACCATTACCAAAGCAATTTATAGAAGATAGAGTTTATCAGGATTATAGTTTCAGAGGTGAGTCTATGACCATCGTGGCTGGGAGCATAATAATAGGCAGGAGGGCAGACAGGTATGCAGGCAAACATGCAGGCAGGCAAGCAGTCAGAGATGCAGGAAGGCATGGCAGTTGAGCAGCAGCTGAGACCTTAAGTCAGAATCACAAGCAGGAGTCAAAGAAAGAGAACTAACCTGGCTAGCCATGCCCTTTTGAAATTTCAAAGCCTACCCCCAGTGAGAAGACCTCCTTCAATAAGACCAGACTCCTAATCCTTCCCAAACAGTTCCACCATCTAGGAACTGAACATTCAAATGTGTGAGAATATGGGGGCCATTCTCATTCAAACCACTACACATCCCAGCTATTGCAACCCAGAGAGATATCAGTGAGACCCAGGGAATAATCTGCCAATGCCAAATGCCTAATTGGAAGTAAGAAATAAAACCATTTTGTTGCCAGCCTTATCATTCCCTTACATCATGTGTGCTGTTTGCATGGTAAAGTTACTCAGAGCCCTACCTCTCTGCCTCCTGGGCTTGGGTGGGTTAGGCTCACCTCCCTGTCCCACATCTTGTCACAGAGACCCATGGTGTAGGTGAGTGCTCAGGTGGAATGAGTCTAAAAGTAAAAACAGAAGCTGCCCTTTGCCCTGATAACTCTTCTAAGGTCACCTCCTCCTTGGCTCCTCCCTAGGTGGGGAGTTGACCTAAATGACTTCCCAGATCCCAGCAGGTGAGGGTTGGATCTGTCCCTATGAGGCGTTTTAGCATGGCATCTGGTTTGAGCCACTCATCTCAAAGCCACAGCTTGGTTTGCATTCATACCACTCTCTCCACTATGTATCCAGTGATTATTTCTGGTGGCCTGAATTTAAACATTTTGTCTCAGCTGTCACCAGAGAAACCCAAACATCTGCCCATTCTCTCAGTTCTGCAGCCACACTAGAGGAAACTGACTTTCCCCCTTTATGTGCCCAGCACAGACCTTAGCTGAAGGTGGGGGGTTAAATGAGTCTACCAGACCCAAGATAAATTAAAAATAGATATTTATGAGGGAAGCACTTACACAGATAAGAGTAAAGAGAAAGAAAGGTAAAAACATATACAAATTAAGACCTACAACCAGCAAGAGCAACACTGAGCAATAGACACATTCTACATGTCTAGTCCCAAGCAAATGGCATGCAACAGAGATTACTCTGATAGCTTTCCTAATCTGGAAAGCCTAAATCTTGTGTCAAGCATTTTCTATCTAAGAAAAGAAAGGATATAGCTATGTCTATCTAGTCTTCAACTTTATCAAAGACCTGAGAAGGGAAATAACATTGCTAAGGTAGGCAGGAAGTGCAAGTGTGTGACTTCCTAAAGGTACAAGTGAAGACGGAAACAGCAGGTGATCTCCAGGTGATCCAACATTCAAAACAGCTGAAAGAAAGATGCCACTACACTTGGCCATGCTTGGGGAGGGGTAATATGTATGTCACACTTGATCTCAGGGAGTGGCATCTCTTCTAGCTTGGGTCCCCACTCCCACACACAAGAGTGATTCTAGCTATTGGAGTGCCAGGAGGAGTTTTCCTGGGGCAGAGGCAGTCCTCATCCTCCCTCTAAAGGAGTCAACTCCCTGCCCCAGTGTCCAAGACCAAAGGTTTCCCCTGTCTCCATTTCATGATTCATGTCTGCTTTTCAGTCAGTGATGTGTATAATTGGAAGATTCAAACCCACCATTCTCTGAAAAACTTCAGGCCCTCATTAATCTCCTAGAGGCAGTTTTTTATACCCACCAGTGACCTGGGGAGACTGCCAACAGATACTGGACACCCTCTTCATGGCCAAAGGGAGGAATAGACTGGAGCATGGTGGCAGATAAGCCACCCTTGGGCCTGACAGAGGATCACTGCCAGACAGGGTAGTCCAGTTAAAGTGGGTTTTCTCTCAGCCTGACCTGACTGGGACTCCAACACTGCCCAAGGTGAGGAGGCTCTGAAGAGTTCTTGCCAGGTCATTTTTTGCATGTATTGAAGGCAGCTGCTAGAAACATTTCCATGTTGTCTAAGGCGACAGAGGTAATACAAAAAAGTCCTAGGAATCACCTACCGGGTTCCCAAAGGGCTTCTGTGACCCTCACCTGATGCTCACTCCCATAGACACAGAGGGACCAGAAAAACAGCGAATAACCAGTATTGGTTTTGTCATGGAGTCTGACCCAGGTATTAGAAAGAAACTCCTGAAGTTAGAAGGGTTTGAGGATACAAATGGGTCCCAATTACTGGAGATTGATCAAAACGTTAACAATAACTATGACTGTGCAGGGAAAAAAATGCAAAGCAAAAGATTGATCTGAGCAGTAGCTGCAGTGCTCAGAGACACATAAAGAAGACATCCCAGAGGGGAAGTCAGAGATACCAGGAAAGGGGACAAGGGCATCCTGTCCTATGTGAATGATTTCAAAGGGGACAGGTGTCCTAGTTCAGGTATTAGAACCTTGGAAGAGGCCAGTGGCCTATCTGTCCATCAGACTTGATCCTGTTTCTGTCCATAGAGCACCATAGCTATGCTAATAAAAGAAGCTGATAAACTGACTTTGGCTGAGGAACCATTATACCACCACATATCCTGTTGATGCCCTTTCGAGGGGGGACCCCAGAGAAGTCAATGCCTGAATGAAGCAATATCATGCACTTCTCCTGGACCAGGCCACACCTGTTTCTGTAAAACTTCAGCATCAATCCAGCCATGCTTCTGCCAGACAATAACCCAACAGAGCCTCTCCTTCCCTGCCTGGAAGTGACTGATGCAGTCCGAGACTGCAGACCTGAGCTAACAGATGCCCCCACACAACCTTTTCTCTCTGTGTGCCAATAGACTTCTGCCTGACTCTCCATGGCCCTTATTTCTCTATCTTTCATGAGATCAGATCCCAGCCTCTGTATTACATGAATGTGCCTGGTACCTGTCACCAGAGTGAACAGTGTCCTGTGACAAAATTGTTTCATAGATGCCAAAATCCTCCTGTCCCGAAGCCCTTTGTGTGTCATTGTGGGCTCTGTGCAGCACTGCATTTTGCATCACAGGGGCAATGACTGCCCCCATGTGGTCAGTGTCCCAGGACATAAGTCAGGAATTTTAGCCTCATTTTCAACTTTGTAGACATTGTAGAGTGGTGACCATTTTTTATTCTATCTCCTTCCAGAGGCAGCAGGACAGTAGCTTAGCCCGGGGCAGTGGGTTAGCTATATGCTGCTCATAGCCCTGTACATCCAGGACCATCGATGTAGAAGGACCAAGGGCTCTGGGGTCAGTGTTCTTGGCTACCTCTCACCTTTGCTCCAGGACAAGAACCTCTGTTAGCCCAACCTTTAATCAGGAACAAATGAGATACATAAAAACCTCACCCCCCCAAAAAAAATCCTCATGTCACAGAGACCATCTCTACTAAGGCAGGGTCCCCCAAAACCTCCTGCCTACTGACTGTGGGCTGGACAGCCTGTCATCTCTCTTTTGTCTCCTGCCTGAATCTGTCTTAGGAAACCTGAAGACTTGAAACTCCCATTCCACAAGCCCCTTCAAAGAGTCACCAAAACCAAAGATAGGCAAATCAGAATATAACATTTATTTTTCATCTTTCTATGACTTCAATGAGGGATTTGGAGGATCATCTTGGGTACACTGTCTTCTGATATTCCTTATACACCGTGGGTTCAACTGGTAGAGGTGTTATCTCTTAAGTTCAAAGCAAGGCCATAACAGCTGCCCCAACAGAGCCCAGGATGATGTTGGATGATGTAGAGAGTCCAGCAGCCCCTGGGAAGGAGACAGTACAGTGACACTCAGTGGCCTGAGGCTTAGAGATGCCCACTGCCTTTTGGCTGAACCTTAGGGCTCTGCTTTAGACAGAGATACTCAAAGTGGACCACAAGGAGAAGACAGATTGGGTAAACTGAGATACAGGAGGGGGAGTTCTCCAAAGAGCAATGTCCCCTCCATATAGCTGGACAGAGGGGGACACACTGGAGAAGGACACCCAGGTAGGGAAGATTCAGAGCCCAGGTAGCATGCATCTTGGACCAGGGCTCCTTCCTGCTTCTGCCATCCAGTGCCCCTTCTGCCTGCACCACACCCCAACCTCACTCACAATGAACCAGAGAGTAGCCATAGAACTAGAAGACACAGGCCCTATGTAAGGTGGGAGTGTAGGGAGAGGAAGGGAGAAGCCTTCCTTTGCTGGACCTCCAGTCATCTGGCTGGGCTGACACTTACCCACTGACTGCAGTGTGGCTACCAGGCTTCCTGCTGCAACTCCATTCCCACTGGCGATTGCTGCTGCTGCCATCATCTTGGCTGCTATGGATCCTGCTGCAATTCCTGTTTCAGTGAAGCCCATGGCACCCAGTACTACTGGGGGAGCAATCACAGCCATAGCTGTGGGGAGAGGAGTTGGGTGGTGTGGGCTCAGGGGGAAAGACCCACTCTATTATTATTATTATTATTATTATTATTATTATTGTTGTTGTTGTTGTTGTTGTTGTTGATCTGAGAAGCTTGGAAATTGGTCCCAAGGATAGGGCAAGGTGTAGGCTAAGAGGAAGATCTGCCAGAGCCATGGTCTTACCAAGCTGTGACACTGGGGAGTCATCATCCTTCACTGGGCCTCAGGCTTATGAGGTGTTAATCACTGCAGTTTCAGGAGATGCCTCCCCTAACCCCCTCCTTCAATAAATTTTCTACTTTTTGTTCATCATATATAAGGTCTAGAGGAGAAACTAGGCAGGAAACCATAATGTCATCCCTGGAATGAGTGAGCACAGATCTAGCACTGGCAGCCCCAGAATAAAGCAGAAGGCAAGAGCTGGGGTGGAGCCCACAGCAAAGCACAAAGCTCCCACAGCCTCCCTTCAGGTGCTGGAAACATACCTCCTCCTATTGCAGCACCCACAATTGTTCCTGGGGAGAGATGGGGTGGGTAGAAAAGATTAGAGTTGGCTGATGGCAGTGAGTTCTTTGTGGGTTTGTGTCAGGGAGCCCAGTTTCCCAACCCACAGGAGGGTGAGGTCTACTAACCCAACATGGTGAGAAGTCTTGGTAGCTGGTAAGCTTAGAAAGTGACTTATATATGAGGAGAGAAAGACAGACTCTTGCTGGTGAACCAATAGGGACAAACACCGCCCCTTGCACAGTGCCAGCCCCCTGGTAAAGTTTTGAAGGCAATAGGGAAGCTTCCAGAGAGAGAGAGAGAGAGAGAGAGAGAGAGAGAGAGAGACTCAGACACACACACACACACACACACACACACACACACACACACACACACACACACACACACACCTCTGCCTTACATCTCACATTTTATCTCCAGCATATGGCAGCCAGTGTAGCTTTACAGGGATGAGGAGGTGGGAAGGAGCGTGTGTGGCACAGGGGTGGTGACACAAAGTAGTTGCTCCTCTGAGCAGATGGTCAGGCAAGATATGAGCCCCCTGATGCCCTGTGTTTGTGCCTCTTCCCTTATCTCTTGCATTCTTGACCCATTCTATGGATGTCTGGGCTCAGGCTTTGAAATGCTAAGTTCACTAGTGGCTAGTGGTGTCAACCTTGCACTCCTCAAGGGGACTGAAAGAGGTTAACATAAAACAAATAAGCCTCTACCAGTGTGTACAGTCAAGCTAATAGTAAAACATACATAGTTTGCCTTTTATATAGAAAACACAAATGTGTTCTGTTGTTTTGTTTTTTCGAGACTGGGTTTCTCTGTGTCGCATTGGCTGCCCACCAACTCGTTGTGCGTACTAGGCTGGCTTTGAACTCAGAGATCTACCTGCCTTTGCCTCTCTAGTGTTAGTTTAAATACATATACCACCATGCCTGGTTTCAAATGTGTTTTCCTAATACAAAATATTAAAGCAGTGGGTAATGAAAAATAAAACATAAAAAGGAAAGGACGTGACTGCCCCTAGGCATGCTGGAGGAGAACGGTTATTGCAGATATGGGTGAGAGCATAGTCAGAGGTATGGATATCTGGGAGAGTCCAGAGTAGACATGGCCAGGTGGAGCCAGGCCCTGTGGGGAGAGGAGGATGAAGAACCAGGTGCACCAGCCAGGAGGTTGAAGGTACAAAAGTGGTGAGTAGCTAAAAATGCCTGGATTATACAGGGGAGAGCCTGTGGGGGAAGGGCAGCCCAGCCCCTGGCCTAGAGAATTCATGGTACAGTATGGTAGCCACACCCTATAATGGGTAGGGACTGAGAGATGCTGGGAGAGCCTGGCTGTCAGGTCTGCTTTGATATGCTAAGTGGGTATGACTGTCATTTGTCCTGGGTATGAGACCTGACACTCATATAACCTGTTAGTTCAAGATGAACTAAAGGACAATCTTTTAGGATGCTGTCCTTTCCAGGTTCAATAGCTTTTGGAGAAAGTTACAATGTACACTGTGGGGACTGTTTCTCTGCTTGAGTGTTGAGGCTGAGAACTTCAAGCTTCCCTGGTGAGAAATTCTCAGCACTCAGAGATGAAGGAAAAATTTAAGTATTGTTCAGCTGTAGCCTCCAGCTGTCGCTTAAAAAGATGCAGACTAGAGCAGAAATAACTCATGGTTTATAGAGGGTTAAGCATTGCCGTAACCTTAGGGTGTTCTTTTCATTCCCACCCCAAAGGAGATTTTTCCAGACGTAAGCAAGTTTTACAGAAGCTGAGATTCGCATGTTTCTGGTCAAGCCAGTTATAGCTTTAACAAACAGAACATGCTAAGTGGATTTTGTTGATGGTCACATCTAAGGAAGAGAAGATGTGACTCTTCAGAAAAACAGGAAGGCCGGATGTTAACAAAGCAGTCTGCAGTTCAGAGTTAGTTTTGTTTTCTCAGATGGAGACATTTTTCTGTTCAGTTTTCTTTATTTTTTCTTGGTGGGACACTAGTCAACCAGGGCATGGCAAGCATGGCTCTAGCAGGCTTTGCCCTTCTCCCTCATTCCCTCAGCTATGCTTAGAACAGATTATGTTTCTAAAGCTAGCCACCAAGGTCTATTCCCTTATTTGGCCACTTCCTCCTTCTGCAAACCCTACCAGCATAATCACCCCCAACCGAGCCCCTTCCTCCTTCTGAGGTTGACCATCAAGGTCCAGCTATCAGTGTTGAAGTCCAACAATCAAAAATCCTCTTTGGCTCATGTAATTAACATGCTCAAGTACAGTTAAACTTGTAACTTCATCCTCACATGGGGTTTCCCCTTTTACCAGTGTAACTACGATGTGTCTCTGGGCTAAGTTTGTTTCCTCTCTATCCAGAGGCAGTCCCCCTGCCTCCAGACAGGTACCCCTTCCCCCTCTCCCATGTTCCCTTCCCCCTTCCTAGCCTTCTGCGTCCTTCTGTGTTCTGTCTCTGTCTCGTATTTCCTGCCCTTTGTCCCTCTGGGGCAAATAAATGTTTGCGCTGACAACTTGGTCTTGGGTGTGTTGAGCCAATACCATTCCCTACATTTATTTTTTTCTTCCTTCCCTCCCTCCCCCACTCTCTCTCTCTCTTTCTTTGTTTATGTATTTATTACTTATTGGTTTTTCCAGACAGGGTTGTTTCTCTTTGTAGCCCTGACTATCCAGAAACTCTGCTCTGTAGACCATGTTGGCCTTGAACTTTGAGATCCACCTGCCTCTGTCTCTGGAGTGCTGGAAATAGAGGTGTGCATCACCACTGTCTGGCTATAAGAGATCTTAGAGTGTAGTTTTCTTTTTCTGAAATGCTGGTGTCAGATCTGGGCATCAGACTGATAAAGACAATATGAAACGAATTAGAAACACTCTCTCTCATTTTCTGAAAGAGCTCACAAAGAGCAGGTAGAGTTCTTTCTTCCTTGCATGTCTGATACATTTCACATTGCAGCTAGCTGAGCATGGAATACCTTTTGGAATGCACAATTTAATTACGAATTAAATTTGCCTACTACATACAGTTGGGAGACATTATGGGCACCCTGTACCTCCAGGCTGTGTGAAGAAGGAATTCTTTGGGGCTCTGATAACAGACTGCCACTGACTTCAGATTTTCTGCTTCTTAATTCAGGTTAACTTCTCAATGAATTTTTCCATTTTGTTTATATTATCAAATTTATAGCATAAACTTGCTCATGTCATCTCTTTCACATCCTGTCCTATGATGTGGTGACTCATTTTAGTCTTGGTGAATTTTGTTTCATCTGTTTACTTCACAACTATGATATCAATATGTAACATACTTTTTCTGTTACTTTTTTTTCTGGTTTTCTTACTTGTGCTCATGTCTTCTTTGATTTAACTAATCTTTTCTACTGGAGTTTTCAGTTTCCTCATTTCTATATGAAATAATACACTTGAGAAAGATACAGAAAACCAGGCTGATTAAGCCAATTAATTAAAAGCATGAGGCCTTTATTTTTTGACACACAACCAAGGGTAGGCTCATGCCTCAGAGTCTCTTGGTGCCAAAGATTAGTGGTAAAACTTTTTTTGTCCAGACAGATTTCTCTGTGTTGTTTTGGAGCATGTCCTGGAACTTGCTCTGTAGACCAGGCTGGCCTACAGCTCATAGAGATCCACCTGCCTCTGTCTCCCAAGTGGTGGGATTAAAAGTGTGTGCCTCCACCCAACATCTTTAAAGGCAAAAACCACAATAGCGTTAGTGTCAGAGTAACCCTGCATTTGTTTTGACAGAACATAGTTATCTCAGACATAGCATGACAATTTTAATTTATACCTTTTTCAATTATCTTCATTTATGTTTAGTTTGTATAAATATTAATGATTCTGGTTAATACATCAGGACCATGGTCAGAGTTATGGAAATCTCAAATGTGTTCCCAAGACAGAGGTGTCTGTTAGGGGATAGAAGGTTGAGAATTGTGTAAGCAAACACAAAATGAGTTGGGACAAGATGGTGTTACTTTATTTATTTATTTATTTATTTATTTATTTATTTATTTGGTTTTTCGAGACAGGGTTTCTCTGTGGCTTTGGAGGCTGTCCTGGAACTAGCTCTTGTAGACCAGGCTGGTCTCGAACTCACAGAGTCCTCCTGCCTCTGCCTCCAGAGTGCTGGGATTAAAGGTGTGCGCCACCACCGCCCGGCAATGGTGTTACTTTAGTCTCTTCGAATATAATTCCTTGTTGCAGTTTTCACATTCTGAAGTTTCTAACTTCTCCAAGCATTATATTTACACATTTTTTTTACTATGTTAAACATGATTACGTACTGTTTTAGATAATTCAGCCATATAGACAATTGGTGAAACTTTCTATCAAGTAGTATTTTCCATGAGTATGAATTTCATTCTTCCTATATCTTATAATTCTCTTTAATTAGATACTGGGCATCATTCCTAAGAAGAAATTAATCCTACAGAGTTTAGGCATCTTAGATCTTTGGTTCATGCTCTTTCCTGGCTTAGAAGTAAAGGCTGAGTGAGGGCAACTCAAATGGCTCAGCAGATGAGGACACTTGCCAACAATCCAGTGACATTAGTTCAGTGCTAAGGACCCATTCCTGTCTCAGACACTTGGTTGATGGGATCACATGTGCTACCAAGCCCAGATGTGGCCTATAGAAACTTTAAGGCTATTGCCCAGAAATAAAACACATACTTATTCAAACCTAGGAGCACCATGTTTGCAGGTGCCACCATGGTGTGGTGTGCAAGCAGATGGAATTTTCCTGAAATAAAAAATGCCTTATAATAAGCAAGGGCTAGACTGTGCCTTGGTTTCTCTTGCACTGGACCAAGAGTTACTGACCTTTCAGAAAGTAGATCGGATACTTTCATACCTTATCTATCACGTATCCTTTCTGCTCCCCCTAGATGGTGAGGCCTTCCATAGGGGGTCATAAGAGTCTATCGTATCCTTTGGGATAGGGCCCAGGCCCACCCCCGTGTGTCTCAGCTCAGGGAGTATTCCTCTATGTGGAATGGGCTCCCAAAGTCCACACCTGTGCTGGGGATAAGTACTGAACTGTTACAGGAGTTACCATAGATTTCTGAGGGTTCCTCACTGAACCCCATGTTCCTGGGGTCTGGATCTGTCCCATGCTGGTATCAAAGCTATCAGTCTGGGGAGCAAGAGTTCCCTGATGTTCGGGTCAGCTGTTTCTGTGGGTTTCACCAGCCTGGTCTGGACCCTTTTGCTCTTCACTCGTCCTTCTCTGCATCTGGATTCGAATTCAGTTCAGTGATTAGTTGTGGGTGTCTGCTTCTACTTCTACCAGCTGCTGGATGAGGGCTATCAGGTGGCATATAAGTCAGTCATCAATCTCATTATCAGGGGAGGGCATTAAGGTAGCCTCTCTTCTGTTGCTTAGATTGTTAGCTGGTGTCATAATTGTGGATCTCCAGACATTTCCCTAGTGCCTGATTTCTCTGTAAACCTAAAATGTCTCCCTCTATTATGGTGCCTCCATTCTTGCTATCTTCTATTTTTCCCCTCACTCAACCTTTCTGCTCCCTTCTGTCCTCCTCACCCCTCCTCTTCTCCCCTTCTTATTCACCTAGCTCCTTACCCCCTCTTCGCGTGCTCCCAGGAGGAAGCACAGGAGATCTTGACCCTTTCCCCTTCTCCAGGGGACCATGTATGTCTCTCTTAGGGGCCACCTTGTTTATTAGCTTCTCTGGCAGTGTGGATTGTAGGCTGGTAATACTTTACTCTATGTCTAAAATCCACATATGACTGAGTACACACCTTGTTTGTCTTTTGGTGATTGGGTTACCTCGCTCAGAATGATTTCTTCTAGTTCCATCCATTTTCCTGCAAATTTCAAGAATCTGTTGTTTTTCTCCGCTAAGTAGTACTCCATTGTGTAAATGTATCACATTTTCTCTATCCATTCTTCACTGGAGGGGCATCTAGGCTGCTTCCAATCTGGCTATTCCAAATAGTGCTGCTATGAACATCGTTGAACAGATATCCTTGTTGTATGAATGTCCTTCTTTTGGGTATATGCCTAGGAGTGGAATTGCTGGATCTTGTAGTAGACTGATTCTCATTT